TAACATAAAATGGACCAAACAGGGTTGATAATGACCAGTAGAAGCCAATAAAGCCAATAAATGTATCCTGCGACTCGTGTTTTGGGTCTCTGGCCAAACTTTGAGTGAGAATTACTTTTTTTAAATGAATATCTAACATAAAATGTACCAAACAGGAGCGATAATGACCAGTAGAAGCATATAAAGCCAATAAATGTATCCTGCAACTCATGTTTTGGGTATCTGGCCAAACTTTGAGTGAGAATTACTTTTTTTAAAATGAATATCTGACATAAAATGGACCAAACAGGGTTGATAAGCCAATAAATGTATCCTGAAACTCATGTTTTGGGTCTCTGGCCAAACTTTGAGTGAGAATGACTTTTTTAAAATGAATATCTAACATAAAATGGATCAAACAGGGTAGATAATGACCAGTAGAAGCCAATAAAGTCTCTCATATGTGTCCTGCAACTCATGTTTTGGGTCTCTGGCCAAACTTTGATTCAGAATTACTTTTTTTTAAATGAATATCTAACATAAAATGGACCAAACAGGAGCGATAATGACCAGTAGAAGCCAATAAAGTCTCTCATATGTGTCCTGCAACTCATGTTTTGGGTCTCTGGCCAAATTTTGAGCGAGAATTACTTTTTTTAAAAAAGAATATCTAACATAAAATGGACCAAACAGGGTTGATAATGACCAGTAGAAGCCAATAAATGTATCCTGAAACTCGTGTTTTGGGTCTCTGGACAAACTTTGAGTGAGAATGACTTTTTTTAAAATGAATATCTAACATAAAATCAGAGTCAGAGTGGGTGGGGGGGTTTCCAGGCTCCAGGGGCTGACCCTGAACTCACCGTTTTTGGATGAGTGGAGGCTTAGTGGGAGACACAGAGAGCTCCTTCTCTTAAATCAGGCACTCGTCCAAACTTGAGTTTTTTTGTTTTGTTTCTTTGTTTGTTTGTTTTTTACCCGGAGCGTCCGTCCATTTGAGCGTCGGTCAGAAGTTCCCGCCCCCCCGCCGACACCACGTAGCCTTTTCCCGGAGGGACCCCGGCCTCCAGGGCCCGGATCCAGCTGCCCGTCTCAGAAAAGGTCAGCAGGATGTCCAGCACTGGGGACACAACCGGTCAATATTCAATACTCCATACCACAAAGAGCCCAAAATTTACAGTGGGGGAAATAAGTATTTGACCCCTTGCTGATTTTGCAGGTTTTCCCACTTACAAAGAATGCAACGATCTATAACTTTAATCAGATGTACATTCTAACAGTGAAAGACAGAATCCCAAAGAAAATTCCAGAAAATCACATCATATAAATTTATAAAAATTGATAACCATCTGATGAGGAAAAATAAGCATTCTTTGTAAGTGGGCAAACCTGCAAAATCAGCAAGGGGTCAAATACTTGCACAACGTTTTAGTATCCATACTTTTGACAACCCTACATTCAAAGGACCTTTTTTGATTCCTCCAGTCATCCTTTCTCATCTCAGTTATCACTGAAAAGGTTCTATTGCTAAAGAATAAAGACTTTTGGTGTCATA